GACGGAGGAGGAGGAGAAGGCGGCGGCGGAAGGAGGGGGAGGTGAGGGCGGAGGGGGGGAAGGGGGTGGCGGGGATGGTGGTGGTGGGGATGGCGGTGGTGGAGGAGGTGGAGGAGGGGGGGGTGAGGGCGGGGCCGGCGATGGTGGGGGTGGCGGTGGAGGTGACTTGAGCGGCACGACCACCACGGCCTTGCCCTTGCCCTTCGCCTTTTCAATTTTCTTCAACTTTTCAAATTCCTTCAACTTTTCAAATTCCTTCAACTTTCCAAACCCTTTTGCCTCCTCGCCCAGCTCGATGATACCTTCTTGGGCGGCTGAACCTGGAGTACGGACAACCGCGAGGGTGGGGCTCGTGTAAATATGGTAGTTACGGAAGTTATGGTCGTTTCCTCAGGCAAGCAAGCTCGGAAAATAGTAATGGGTACTGAGCAACTTCCCGAGAGGTAAGACCAACGTAATGACAGGCTCCTCTTTAGGGGGAGTTTACATCAACGGCACGTTTTTCAACCGAATCGTACGTGTTCGTTACTTCTGTTGGTCTTTTGGGGGACAACTGACATACGCATTCCACATCATCACACGAAGCATGCCGCCAGACATGCGGCTTTTGACCGCCATGAATGCAGTGTGCGTAGGTGAGTGGGTGTGTGGGTGCTGAACCGCACGCAGAAGGCAAGACCTAGCGAGAGCGGGAGGGGGTCGGGCGTGGCAATGGCAGGCACAAACGCAACCTCCCCCACCCGCTGGGAGCCACGTCAATGCCGCGGCGGAAAGAAGGAGCAGCAGCACAGGCCCATGTCTGGCGGCGGCTGCGCCAGCGGGGGCACACCGCGCCATGGCGGCCCTCACTCGCTCCCCTGCTTGCACGTACTGGACGTCCGCAGCTGTAAATCTGCAGGTGGTCAACTCTCTGTCGCCGTCACCCGGGGGGACATTCCGTGGGTTCCGAGGGGGGGGGTGAGGGTAGGGGGGGTGAGGGTAGGGGGGGTGAGGCAAATCAACAAAGCGAAGCAGGGATATGTTGTTATGTTGTCCTATGCTTTATATGGAATATAACATATATAGACATTGATGTATAAATTTAGATATACATTTCTGTATGCATGTATATGTTACGTATATACATATGGCGGCTCGCAGGGGGCTGCAGCAGTGCTCGGAAGGATAAAGAGCAGTTGGCCCGTATAGTGATGCGGCGGCGGGTCAGTCAGCTGGGGTATGTGTACGGCAGTGGGGTGTACAGTACGGCAGTGAGGCGGGTCAGCTCGGTACGTACCGATCCTGACAATAGAGCTGTCTCCTGCAAGCCGTCTAACGCACTGTCCAGATGTCTGTCTGTGCAATGAGATAGATTCCGGAGATGGGTGTGGAGCCCCTACTACTCGCTGCCTGAATGTCGGATGATCAGCGGATGTTAAGAGCTGTGCTGTGTAGCGCGATGGCAGGACGACGCGTACGGTAGAAAGAAGTTGGCCCATCTTAGAAATCGAGGCGAGGTCAGCCTAAGGGACGGACTGGTGATACCGCCGCGCCCCCGTGCGGGTGTGGTGATGTTCGCCTGTTGATGCCTGCTGATGTCAGTGATGAGCACCGGAAGGGCCGAGCGAGAGCAAGGAATATCTATCTGCTGGTTGCGCCTTTCATCGTCTTCTTAGCCCCGGACGGAGGCGGCCCGTCCAAGGAAGTGTCCCCCCAGCGGTTCACGTGTGCACGGCTGCTGCTAGGTGGGTATCGTGATAACGGTGCTGCGTGCTGTTCCGAAGCTATATATGGGTGCAAACAATATAAGCTAAAGCGTGGGGCGCCATTATCTTTAATGACGCTGCAGAGCACTCCTGGCTGGCAGTAGGCAGTTGTGACGTTATGTATGCATCATGATGACGACGACCTGTACCAGGGGGCAATGCGAGACCTGTAGGCCAAGTCCCCTTATGCAAGCGATATACCTACCTGTACCGCAAACCGTGTGTGTGTATGTACGCGGTGCCGTATCACCATAACAACTATATCATCCGGCCCCCCTATATCGCCCCCGCCGTACCTCAGAGGGGTAGATACAGTTATTTGCACCATTGCGCTGATTCGCTCTCAAGTGCGTGTTAGCGATCTTCGTGGTTGTGATTGCAAAAGGTGCAACGTGCGTACGACACAGCCAGGCCCCCACACACGGGATCCCGTCCTTAGTCCCCATTCTGGGCCGCAGCAGCGGCAAACATGTTTGTTTCGTACTTCCTCTACTCGGGCCCCTCCCCGGAGCTCGTTTTTATGAGTCTAGAGCATGGGTTGGGTCGGTGCTAAAGACTGTTCAATTGCAGTGCCACTGGAAGTGGTCGAGTACACACCACCCTGTTCGTCCGGTCCGGTAACAAAGGTCCGATCAACTTTGGGTTTCAGTGCAGCCAAGTCGGCTGCAGTAGTCGGTTCCGGAGCTATTATTCCGGGTTCCAGCTGCGTGTCATGGGAGCTGTGACTGGTGCAGACGAGGTATCAAAGGACACTTCATGCTGGAATGCATGTTGTTAATGGATCTACCCTGTATATCGTATCATCGACTTTGGTTACCGCTAGTCTTGCTGACGTATATTGAGAAGGACTGTAGTTTCTACAATACCACACTAGTACACGTAGTGTTGGTCGTACATACATACGCCCGAGCACACAAGACTAACCGACTTGTGCTGTGTGCTCCCGACCCTTGCGCTGTGTTTCGGCTTCGGCCCCCGGCTCTCGCGGCCCACAGTGTAATCTAAGTCATACGCCCGGGGGAACTTGAGCTGCTGTATAACGAGAACTGGAGCAACGAGGAAGCGGACCGCTGCAAGCAGAGGTGCCAATCAAGCACACATCTAGCTGATAGATACCTGGGGGGCTGCTGAAGAAGCATCGGCGGGTAACGTTTTATGTTAGTTCCTTTGTGTCGAGGCAGAGGATCCATAATGCCCTATGACACCCTAGGACCCCCCCTCGTTTTTGTCACAGCCCAAAGGACCGACACCGAACCCCAAGACCGGTGTCCATGCCGTGGACGTGAGTGTCCGAACGGGCTGCACGGGAGTTAGCAGGCACACGCTCCTCCACTGCGCCACCTGCCGCTTCCCTCGCCGTCATCTCTCGCGCAACATGGGCATACATCGTAGCACGCTGGCCAAGGCTCGTAGCCCTTGCCGAGTAGTAACAAAGCCCATCAGCGCTGTCACCAGGGCCCCGGCGGATGCTCAGCTGGCGTCAAGCAGCGGTGGTGGGTACAGCAACAGTAGGACCAGCCTAGCTATCGGTGAGGCTCGTACGCAGTATGCAACGCCTAAAAAGGCAATACAAAGTTACAACGCACTCGCTGTGCTTGCTTATAGATAAGATATGGGTGGGGTTGTGTGTGATGTGATATAAAAATGGGCTAATTACAGAGTCTCCAATCCTGGGGGCCTCGCAGTAGGGGCCACCACAGAGCCCAAGTACCAAGTCGCCATTGCCACCCGCACCTGTACACATCCCCATATACTTCGCGGCGCATGCACTGCTGTGAGAGTGCTGCCCCCCCTCAGCAAATCATTAACGTCTTTTGGAGTGTCCTGGAGCGCCCCCCCCCCGCAAGGAGGAACTGGCGGGGACACAAAAGAAGTATATCGATTAACGGAGGACGAGTTTGTCAAGAGGGCGGAGGAAGAGGGGGCACTAGCATGCACGAACACTTCCCACTGTAGTCCACATATATGTATGTATGTATGTCGGTTTCCAGCACGTACAGACAGCCATCCGGTCTCGCAGGAAAACGAATGCCCGCGCGGGCAGGAACAAAATGCCATGCCTGTGGTCATATAGGGCTCGTACAACAATACTCCATTGGCTCGTGGAGAGGGTGGAAGGGGCACACATACGTACATATATACGTACGTCCGGCAGTGATAGAACCCACCACACCCCTGCTGCATCACCGTGTCTGTGTATGTGTATGTGTCGACGAGCCCAACTGGACGAGTGAGAGGCGGAGGTACGTCGCCAGATCAAGAAAGGAAAGGGGCACGTAGTGGACTTGGAGAATCCACACGCCATACGAAAGAGCGCTCATATGCAGCACGGGATATGGAGGTTGGGTTTTTGCAAAGCTTATAGAACAATTGGGCGCTGTACGGCAAACGCTATACATGAATATAAGGGCATATACCCCCTACTTGCCAGACACACGCGTTGGCCGTTATTCACTGTCTGGATAGGGCCCTATGGGGGAGGGTTTCGTTGCCCCGCCAGCTCTGACAGGCGAGGGTGAGTTCAATAGGTAAGCACATACATACATACATACGTACAAGTAGGACGTGCCATTTGTTGGGTGCAATTCAGATTCCCACCTCAGATGTTTCGGCGGTGCTAGCTAGGACTTGTATATGATGTACGTGTGTAGGCATGCATGTATGTATGTCAACACCGACTACCCATACCTAAAACCCCGAAGTACTCCGCTCCTCCTTCGCAACGAGGGGACCCACATGTAAGTCATGGCAGCTGACTAACGGTCGAATGCGACCTGCCGTACGACACCTAGAGAAGCTTCCGCTGGTCCGTACAGCGTACAGCATCGTCAGAAATCGCGACGCGATTGCTCTTCCCCCCCCACCCATACATCACATTGCTCATCAGCTCCGCATCATTCGAGTCGCAAGCCACTGTTTCACGTTGATGAAAAGCAGTGTCCATGCGATCACGCCAAGACCTACTGAGCTCGGCTCTACAGCGGGCAGCCAAGCGACCCTCCACCCAGCCGCACGGCAATCAAAACAGTCATAGCTGGCCTCGCACTGCGATGGCGGCGGTTTTTTAGCGGCTAATGCTGATCAACCAACCGCCGCACAGTGGTTCGCAAGCTCTTTGCAACAACAGGAAAAAAACGTATGGTTGGACTACTGCTACCTTTTGGGACGGTGTACGACAGTTATGCAGTTCAAAAATGCTCGCAGCATGGGCATCTCTCGTAATAAAGCGGCCTATTGAGCCAGCAGGTTATGAGCCCCCCCTCAGTACATCGCACACAGGTTTTCATTTAAAATGAAATTTAAATTGTCAAAGGTGCGCCCAACCCGCGGCCGCTGCAGCTCGCTCTCTTATTAATGGCAAAACTCTTATCAATGGCAAAACTGTTGCTTCGAGCAACTGCGCCGAGTCAGGGAGGTTGCTGTCCGGCAGGCAGAGCACCCGCAGCTGCTGCAGTACTGCTCCTTCGCCCTGTTGCTGTTGCTGTGCTGTTGCCGTGTTGTTTGCTGTGTTATTGCTGTTGTTGTTGCTGTTGACCCCGGTAGGCCACCCCTCCCCCCCCCCGAGACCACTCCTAGCATTCGGCCCATTAAGGCTCTTGCTCCCCTCACCCACACCCCTTCGCAAACCGCCTCAACCGGTTCCAAGCAAGCTGTTGTTACCACATTCCGCTATACTGCGGACCGCCACTCGGCTTCCGGCTCCAGCCACGCAACAACTTCCTGACACGCAACAGCACTCCCACATCGATGTCAGCGGCGCTATCGCTGCCTGCGGGAATCCCCTCTCCCCCCTCCCCTCCCTCCACTCACTAACCCACTCACCCACCCGCCGCAACCTAGAGCGACAGACTGGGGAGCCCCCGAGTGCTGACCGGGCTGCAGCTGTTGCAGTAGCAGCTGTAGCACTGCTGCTGCTGTTCATGCCGCCCAGCAGACCGCCGCTGGTGGCAGTAGTGGCAGCGGCGGGGAGATCCGGCCGCCACCGCCGCCGCCGCCGCTGCTGCTGCTGCTGCTGCTGCTGCTGCTGTCATCAGTGCCCCGGACCACCCACAGAGCCGACAGCGCGGATGCGAGGCGGGTCATCGCGCAGCTTTTCCCCGCACAGCGCTGCGAGCTGACAGACCCGTGGGTCACCGCCGCCGCCGCCGCCACCAGCCAGGGTCCCCAGCTGTAACGGCAAGCGGCGCTCTCGAGCCTGAGGTTGCACGACGGGGGGAAGGGGAAGGAGGAGGTGGGGCGGGGGAGATCACCGACCGCTGACTAAACATTCGAGGTCCCCACTCCGGTCGCGATCCCCACCCCAACAACCACACCGGCATTTGTAAACGAACGAACGAACGAACGCGTGTAGTGACAGGAACCATTCGTCAGGGATTGCTCAATCGCAGTGTAGTGGTCGGTCACAGAGGTGTGGAGATGTAGAGGTGCAGCGCTACCCCGCTGCCGGACTCGGACCTCCACCGCCATTGAGATACGGAGGTGACTCGGGTTGCTGCCCACAACTACACGCCAGCCAATGGGAGACAGCAATCCCCCTTTACCTTTAACCCCTTCACCCTGCGGTAAGGAGGGAATTACCAACCCGCACTGGCCCACTCGCTTCCTAATTCGTATCAGAACGGCATCTAACACACTACTGCTGTACATTGTACGTACTTGCCGCCGTACATCCGTACAGTCCAGCAACGAGCTCAGAGCGGAAAGGACACAGACCAGCAGTGAAGTGTTGCTCCCCGGGAGGTGTTGTACGGATGTACGGCAGGAGGGCGGCCTAGCCAGGAGGTAGCTCGAGGAGGTCGTGGCGGCGGGTCGGGTCATCGGCCTGTCTGAGAGGGGCCCCATGGCCTGCAGTGTATGCGTGTATGTATGTATGTATGTGTGTAAGGGGGAGAGAGAGGGGGAAAGAGTTGAGTGGGGAGGAGTTGTTTGCGGAGGCGGAGATGAGACTAACCCCTAAAGCCATCTAGGGGCACTGCGTTCGGAGGTGAAGGCCGTGTGGCTGTGGCTGCGTAGGCGAGCGGCTGGCTGGCTGGACAGTAGGAATTGCAACTAACAAGTCGCAACAGGCTGGAGTGGAGTGGAGTGTCCAGACGAGAGCCGTCAACAGCAAGAACACGGACATTGCACTGGGCAGCCGTGGGGTGAAGTAAAGCATTAGGCTGTAGCAACCTTCCCTTCCCAACCGCTAAGGGGAGGAGGAGGGATTCTGAAGGGCGGCTCAGGCGGCTAGGCGGCCGCCGCCTAGGGCAGAAAACCCAGAGTTAAGGTGGTTACTCCACGGCCTAGGTCCTCCCACTGTCCGGCGGGCCCCCCTTCCCGCACCCTCCACTCGCCTGCAGCCCCCCTTGGTCCGCGCTGCGCTTCAGAACCGCCATAAGCGCCGCTGGCAGCTCCGTCGCC